GCCTCCAGGTTCTTAAACCTCTAGGTTTTTTTATGCGGGTGTTTATTGTAATTTGTCCTTTATATGACTCCGTTTAGACCGACACAAAGGCCTTTACGAGGTATCCATCTTACAGAGGGTCAAAGAAAATAATACGAGGAAAGACGGGACCAACTCTGAGTGTAAGCTTTGGAAGGTGTTCGTCGTACAGAGCGTTGACGGCGGAAGAAAAGGCAATGAGATTTACCATATAAGGAAGTAAAGGACAACTTTCTTCTTTACTAATAAGTGATATTATACCTTCGTTTTAAAATAGCTACTTAATTTTATCGATATATCAATTGACCTTACCAGTTATCAACCAGGTGTTTTTTAAATGCCATGAATTTTCTTAATGGAAATTGTATTTTCTAAGCAACTTATATCTCCGTCCCCGTTCAAATGTTAATTAGTTTCGCCAGGAGAGTTCCTCATGGAAAAAATATCGTCCCCTTAGCTTCATTTCATTCCCGTTCATCACTTAGTAAACAGAGCACTGCTGAAAGAAAGTCAATATTCAGTTCCTCTCGGTTTGTCAAGTTACATCGTGGGATTTATCCACAGACTCAAATCAGTTGGATATACCGTTGCACATTATAGTGTCTATAATAAACTAGAACCAAAGGAAAGTTTTGCGCAGTAACGTTCACTAGAATGCTGGACACACCTCTGGATTTTATGCACAGACAACTTAACTTAGAACCTCACTCTACAGCATGCTAAACAGAACTACCGAGGACTATTCTCTATTTTCGATTCTCTTCAGTATAATACACTCTGTTCGACCTTAAATTTTGCATAGTATTGTTTTCAAATGTTCCTCGGGGAAGGATTGCTTATTCCCAGGATCACAAGTTGAAAACGATTAATTCAGATGCAAAATTGGTGGGGGCAAATAGGGTGTATTAGGGGGATTCGAAGTAATTAATGCTCAGACGTTTTCGTTTGAATAGTTACAGGAATTCTACTACAGGATTCCATACACTAACCCACAACTCAGGGGTGATTCATCACCACTGGAAAGTACTGCTCAGAAGCTTTCATTTGAATGGTCACACTTAAGGATTTCATCCACAGACTCAAAAGTTAGAACCACCTTGTACAGCATAATAAACAGCACCACAGGAAAGTACTGCTCAGTAGCTTTCATTTGAATGGTCAGACTTAAGGATTTTCATCCACACTCAATAGTGAGAACCACTTCAGTTTTCATAGTTAATAAACAATACCACAGGACAGTATTGCTGGAGTAGCTTTCATTTGAATGGCCACACTTTAAGATCTTATCCACAGACTCAAAAGTTAAAAACACCTTGTACAGCATAACAAACAATATCACAGAAAAGTGCTACTCAGTGGCTTTCATTTGAATGGTCACACTCAAGGATTTTATGCACAGAATCTTATTGAATCACCTCTTTTCGTTAATATACAGTTCTGTCAACTTCTTTATTCTCATAAAGAAGACATCAAATGACTCAAGGAAAAAACATAGCAATAATGGTGATTTTTGGTCATTTTCTGACTACACAGAAGTTTAACTTAAAAAAGTTGACCCATTTCTTTTCCAAATTGCTATCCGTTTCCATCCAGGCTATCGAAAGCGAAAGACAGAGAGATAGTTCAAGTATTAACCATTATAGCAGGAAGGTTTTCTATGGTTCCAATGTGTTTTTAAGGTTTTAAAGCAATATCTCGTAACGTGACATTGCTCAGTGGATGAGGTCCTGCGGTGTGATCATTCATAGGAAAGCTACTCAGCAGTACTTTCCCCGGTTTTGTCATTCTGCTGTTCTAGAGGGTTCTAACTTTGGAGCCTGTGGACGAAACCGTGTTGTGTAGTCATTTTCACACTAATGAAGGATGAGAACAGATCCATCGTTTTTTCTCCTTCAAACTCAAGTCAAGCTTAGGCAAATTAGATTTATTACTATACAGAAGTTCTGCCAAAAAAGTCATTTTGAGTAGAGATATTGAAGCATACTGATCACTATACTAGTCCTAATTCACTTAAACGTATTTAGTGCTTTCAACTCAAACACACTATCATGATTGGTATGTTGAGAGAGGTATTCGTCACATGAAATCCCCGGCACCCCTATCTCTGGTAATTCAACACTTTTGGATTGTTGTGGTTGACTTTCTGGCATTTTTTATGCTTATACAATGCTGGCTTTATTGCCCTTTCAACCATCATTAAAATGATGTAGGACTCAGAAGCGGTGCAAGAGTAAAGGTTTCTTTTGTCAATTTTGGCATTAGAACTCGACAGTTAGTTTCAATTGCGAGAGAATTGACCTACAAAGAGTTGGCCTTTTATATGGCAGCCTCCATATCTACTCTTTCAACTACCGCAATATTCGTTCAGTTTTAAGTCCGACATAGACTGCGAGAAGCCGTGAAAAGATTTGGTTCATCGCAATGGTCAAGTTGAGCAAACTGGTAGGTTTTACCGCGCAGCCTTGAGTTTATGGCAAAAAATCTACGAGTGGCATTCGTCAGCCACGCCCTTTAAAAGTGACCTACAAAGTGTAAATTGTGATATTCTTCTATTGCAAAGCTCTTATCTGCTAAGGCTTAAATTAAATCCAGAAAGCTTATCGTCACATCATCTTTGATGCCAGCGAGTACAATCTTAATTTCACGATAAGATGGCTTGAACGCTTACTCTTCTTCATCACGAGCTTATGTAATAAAGAAACTCGAGTATCTTCTTCATTCTGCAGCTAACTGCTCACACAAAAAGAAACAATCGAAGGACGAGAAAAGTCACGTAAAGTTCAAATAAAGGTAAACTAAACTGCAGCCACGCAAGCATTTCTGAACATCGGTTTGATTTGCTTCTCCAAAGAAACATGGCTATATTAACAATTCAGTTCATCCCATGTACCCTTAGTTTAGTTTCCGCAAATGATCAAAAATTTTTTTTTACTATATCGGCGACTTGATGTTTGCATGTTCAGAACTATAATCAAGGAAGAATCCGCGATGCCATCTCTTATCTTTGTTTTCGTAGGCGTTCACAGTTTATTCACTTCAACCGACGACCAAAATATCCAAAAATTTGACAAAATTGTAAAGGTTCCGAAAATCTAAGGGTTTTTTCAGTTAAAAATAATCTAAACAATTCAAAGTTAATTAATTTGGCACATCTTTTACTCCTGGACACACTGGCTCTTATTGCAGTCAGGTCAATGATACAATGATACAGGATATTGGTTACATCCGCGAGATAAACGCTTCAAATTGAAACTCTATGGCAAAAACTAAAAACAGCTCTTGATCGGAATGCTATGGCAAATGCTTTCATCACACGATTAGAAAATACAGCCCTTTTCAGATTTTTTTTTTAGAGTAACAAGGAACTCTCAATTTTGTTGTTACTCAGAATTCCACTGCAATCCGAGGCTATTTCTAGAGTTAAAGTAAACATATCAAAGTCCTGTTCGAACACCAAACAAATGCCGTGAGAAAAAAAAAACGGGGGGGAACTTAAAGTCAGGGTTATAACTTACCTTTTCTTTCGGTTGCTATTCCAATCTAAAGGGCCATGTTGTTTCTTTCTTTAGGCACAGTGGAGTAAATATCATAAGCTTATTTCATGTGCAGGGCGGTATTTTATACCAAAGTGAATAAACACCCCACTATTTTGGACCTCAACATTTCTTTAAGAATGTGCGAGTCGATCCCCACACTCCCCCGCACACACCCACTTTGTCAACAAACTAAAATAGCTCAGTGTTTTCGTCGTTTTCCATTCCTGTTTATTTTAACAGACTTCATCTCATATACACAGCTGAAGAATGACGAGAAGAGCTCTGATACTGAAATGATGTCGGATTTTTAGCTTGACTAGTAAAGAAGAAACTATGACTGGAGCCTTAGTTTATAATCCAATTTCCCTTCCTTTTCAGAAAATCACGTAATGACCGTAATGTGTGCACGCCAAAGGTATATACAGATAAAAAACGTCTCAGATATCTTTTGTAGCCTTACCAAAGGACCGGAGTAAACTTTGAATCGTACCACACATTAAGAACATTTTATTGCCTGTGGAGAAAAGATTAAGACATTTTCCAGGCTTTAAGAACGATAGCCTGACAGGAAGCCACATGCTAAATAGTCTGAAATAGATAAGAGCTTTCGCTTTGAAAGTCTGTCACGTTTTCATACTCTAGTTTTCAGTACGAGATTAAAGCAAATTCTTTAAAGGAACTGTTTAAAACAAACAACAATGAAGGGGACAATAACAACGTTAGCAGGTCAAGAAGTCAAACTTAAATCCCCCAAAGTATCATAGTTGCGTAGGCAGTTGCTAAGTAACCATTAACGTGCTTTGCTGCTGAGGGTATCGAATACAGTGATATGACATAGATTTAATATACTATGTAAGTGATTCCAAAGAATATCCCCTCTAGAAAAATTACTTTTATTTGGATGGTTTTAATACTCTGACGTCTTAAAGTCAGCGGCAACAGTGTTTAAACCAATGATATCCGCATTGCCTAAGTGTTTTTTAAGTACACTGCATGATGTTGATCTCTATTCCATCCATTACGGTCTTCGAATAACTTATTCCGTGAGATTCCATCGACTCTTCTGAAATGCTTTGGCTGCGAAACACTTATTTTCGTAAAAATATGGATAACAGTGGCTTGGTTAATCTAGGACAGGAGTGAAAGGGGGTGTAAAACGCGAAAAGCACGCAGGGCTATCTATGGTAAATCATCTTGAGGCATGCAACGTGCACGAAGGCGTTGAAGCATTATCTTGGCTCCTATCATTTGTTTATGTTCTGGTTATTATAACGGTGTCAAATGAGTTCCGTTTTTGATACATGATGTCTCCTTAAAATGGAAACCCATTCCAGCTGACAAGCCAAGCCCTGGAATGAGCGATAAGTTTCTAACACACCACAATCTCCGCCTCACTCCAACCGCACAGCTCTTGCGTGCAGGTCAGTCGCCGTTCAGCTTGCAGCCATGGAGGAGACGTTAACCACTATCAAATCTGAAAACAGCCAAGGCAAAAAGAAAACGCGACGGCGAGGACCACGATTGACCGGAGTTAGCCGGCAGCGGAGAATGGCCAACGCTCGAGAGCGAAGCAGGGTGCAGACCCTTAATGCACACATCGAAAGGCTCCGGGACTTAATACCTCTTTTTCCTGGAGAGAAGAAACCTTCGAAGACAGAAACCATCCGATTAGCGGCCGTTTACATCTCCTGTCTCACGGAAATTTTGGAGGCGACACCAGAAGGCCTCGAGAGAATTTCCACCGAGGAATTGATGCCCCCTTTTCCAGGACTCGAGGACGGTTTGGTTTTGGGTGGCTTACCGGGTTTGCCTCAATTGTGTTTAGACCCGTTCGCTGACGAAGGTAAGCGATGAAGTTTTCGACTCAATTATTGCATGTGTACGTAAGTACATGTGCTGTGGATCACTGTCATCAATTTCATAGCCTGATCTATACCATGGGAGGTCTGATAATTCTAAGTAATTAATCTTTCCGCCTTTGTTTTTTTACGTTTTTTCCAACTTCTGGTACCGGAAGGATCTATTTTAGAACCAATTTATAATATTTGCTGCAAATATTTAAACAATCGCGTTGTGAAATGTTTGAGATTTGTCCGTAGATTATGGATGGCCCTTTTGAAACATGTTTACATGTTATAACTCTTTTTCACTGGTAAAATAAACAATTAGTATTGTCTATTTAAAAAAATGTCTTTCAAGGTGGCGGCGTTCATCCCCTGAAATTGCTTCCGAGATATAAGGGCCCTGAGATGAATATTTGTACATTTTAATACTTGAATTGAATTGTAACTTTGTAATAAAATTAAAAGGACTGAATTGTTGAATTCGAAACTTAAAGTAAATCTTTAAATCCGCCAAGCTGCACTTAACATTTATTTGTTTGTGTTGTTTTTATTGATGTATCAATTTTCTGTTTGTGTTTAGACAACCTATTGGACCTGGATCTCGCAGACTACATGTGGGAGGAATTCGAATAGCAAGCAAGCTCAAAGGCACGAAATAAAACAAGGACAAGTTTTCTATGAACATCTTTCATCTCACGAGCGTTCAGCCACTTATCAGGCACATCTTTTACTCCTGGACACACTGGCTCTTATTGCAGTCAGGTCAATGATACAATGATACAGGATATTGGTTACATCCGCGAGATAAACGCTTCAAATTGAAACTCTATGGCAAAAACTAAAAACAGTTCTTGATCGGAATGCTATGGCAAATGTTTTCATCACACGATTAGAAAATACAGCCCTTTTCAGATTTTTTTTTTAGAGTAACAAGGAACTCTCAATTTTGTTGTTACTCAGAATTCCACTGCAATCCGAGGCTATTTCTAGAGTTAAAGTAAACATATCAAAGTCCTCTTCGAACACCAAACAAATGCCGTGAGAAAAAAAAAACGGGGGGGAACTTAAAGTCAGGGTTATAACTTACCTTTTCTTTCGGTTGCTATTCCAATCTAAAGGGCCATGTTGTTTCTTTCTTTAGGCACAGTGGAGTAAATATCATAAGCTTATTTCATGTGCAGGGCGGTATTTTATACCAAAGTGAATAAACACCCCACTATTTTGGACCTCAACATTTCTTTAAGAATGTGCGAGTCGATCCCCACACTCCCCCGCACACACCCACTTTGTCAACAAACTAAAATAGCTCAGTGTTTTCGTCGTTTTCCATTCCTGTTTATTTTAACAGACTTCATCTCATATACACAGCTGAAGAATGACGAGAAGAGCTCTGATACTGAAATGATGTCGGATTTTTAGCTTGACTAGTTAAGAAGAAACTATGACTGGAGCCTTAGTTTATAATCCAATTTCTCTTCCTTTTCAGAAAATCACGTAATGACCGTAATGCGTGCACACCAGAGGTATATACAGATAAAAAACGTCTCAGATATCTTTTGTAGCCTTACCAAAGGACAGGAATAAACTTTGAATCGTACCACACATTAAGAACATTTTATTGCTGTGGAGAAAAGATTAAGACATTTTCCAGGCTTTAAGAGCGATAGCCTAACAGGAAGCCACATGCTAAATAGTTTGAAATAGATAAGAGCTTTCGCTTTGAAAGTCTGTCACGTTTTCATACTCTAGTTTTCAGTACGAGATTAAAGCGAATTCTTTAAAGGAACTGTTTAAAACAAACAACAATGAAGGGACAATAACAACGTTAGCAGGTCAAGAAGTCAAACTTAAATCCCCCAAAGTACCGTAGTTGCGTAGGCAGTTGCTAAGTAACCATTAACGTGCTTTGGTGTTGAGGCTATCGCATATAGTGATATGACATAGATTTAATATACTATGTAAGTGATTCCAAAGAATATCCCCTCTAGAAAAATTACTTTTATTTGGATGGTTTTAATACTCTGACGTCTTAAAGTCAGCGGCAACAGCGTTTAAACTAATGATATCCGCATTGCCTAAGTGTTTTTTAAGTACACTGCATAAAGTTGATCTCTATTCCATCCATTACCGTCTTCGAACAACTTATTCCGTGAGATTCCATCGACTCTTCTGAAATGCTTTGACTAAGAAACACTTATTTTCGTAAAAATTAAATAACAGTGGCTTGGTTAATCTAGGACAGGAGTGAAAGGGAGTGTAAAACGCGAAAAGCACGCAGGGCTATCTACGGTAAATCATCTTGAGGCATGCAACGTGCACGAAGGCGTTGAAGCATTATCTTGGCTCCTATCATTTGTTTATGTTCTGGTTATTATAATGGTGTCAAATGAGTTCCGTTTTTGATACATGATGTCTCCTTAAAATGGAAACCCATTCCAGCTGACAAGCCAAGCCCTGGAATGAGCGATAAGTTTCTAACACACCACAATCTCCGCCTCACTCCAACCGCACAGCTCTTGCGTGCAGGTCAGTCGCCGTTCAGCTTGCAGCCATGGAGGAGACGTTAACCACTATCAAATCTGAAAACAGCCAAGGCAAAAAGAAAACGCGACGGCGAGGACCACGATTGACCGGAGTTAGCCGGCAGCGGAGAATGGCCAACGCTCGAGAGCGAAGCAGGGTGCAGACCCTTAATGCACACATCGAAAGGCTCCGGGACTTAATACCTCTTTTTCCTGGAGAGAAGAAACCTTCGAAGACAGAAACCATCCGATTAGCGGCCGTTTACATCTCCTGTCTCACGGAAATTTTGGAGGCGACACCTGAAGGCCTCGAGAGAATTTCCACCGAGGAATTGATGCCCCCTTTTCCAGGACTCGAGGACGGTTTGGTTTTGGGTGGCTTACCGGGTTTGCCTCAATTGTGTTTAGACCCGTTCGCTGACGAAGGTAAGCGATGAAGTTTTCGACTCAATTATTGCATGTGTACGTAAGTACATGTGCTGTGGATCACTGTCATCAATTTCATAGCCTGATCTATACCATGGGAGGTCTGATAATTCTAAGTAATTAATCTTTCCGCCTTTGTTTTTTTACGTTTTTTCCAACTTCTGGTACCGGAAGGATCTATTTTAGAACCAATTTATAATATTTGCTGCAAATATTTAAACAATCGCGTTGTGAAATGTTTGAGATTTGTCCGTAGATTATGGATGGCCCTTTTGAAACATGTTTACATGTTATAACTCTTTTTCACTGGTAAAATAAACAATTAGTATTGTCTATTTAAAAAAATGTCTTTCAAGGTGGCGGCGTTCATCCCCTGAAATTGCTTCCGAGATATAAGGGCCCTGAGATGAATATTTGTACATTTTAATACTTGAATTGAATTGTAACTTTGTAATAAAATTAAAAGGACTGAATTGTTGAATTCGAAACTTAAAGTAAATCTTTAAATCCGCCAAGCTGCACTTAACATTTATTTGTTTGTGTTGTTTTTATTGATGTATCAATTTTCTGTTTGTGTTTAGACAACCTATTGGACCTGGATCTCGCAGACTACATGTGGGAGGAATTCGAATAGCAAGCAAGCTCAAAGGCACGAAATAAAACAAGGACAAGTTTTCTATGAACATCTTTCATCTCACGAGCGTTCAGCCACTTATCAAGAAAATTATCACCTACTTATCAAGTGTGGAATCAAATCTAGAATATATAATGTTACAGTTAGCCCAGTACAGCTTTAGGCGTTTAGGAGCATTGGGTCACGACTTGTAGTATCTCTCACTAATGTAGAAAATACGAAGTATTATCGAGTCAAACTTTTAGCGGAACCGGCCATCTATGCCCTAATGATATGCAACTGCGCGCAAATCAGTGTGATTCTTGTAATTCGCGCAAAAAAAAAAAACTTCAAGGCGATCTTGAGACAGCAAATAGAGTAAAGACAAAAAAAAAATGGAAAAAGTAAACCCAAATTTTTCAATGCCTAATGAAAACAAACACCACCGATGCCTTTGATTTCACCATTCCACATATTGTTTCAGTCCAACCACGACAAAACTGATCTTTGCACGATCACGAAGCTGTTCTTACAGACCTTCCATTGTTACTGTATAGATATCCAAAACCACAAGGATTTCATAACAATCTGCACAATTAGCCACCCCTACGATTCATTTGAATGGTTACATAAGCAAGGATTCAATGCACCACTGAACTGAAAAAGGTTTTCAGTCTAACAAACAACTTGAAAAAAAGCAAGTACTAGTTCTACTTCGCAGCTCCCCGCGGTGATCCCGGCACACAGTCCCTCGATGATTTCAATCGGAATCGTTTAAGTTTGTGTCAAAGATTTGTATAGAAAGCGAATGAAGAATTCTTTTTAATTCTTAGTCAATGGTCCTTTAAAAATACAGATCTTGCAAAATTTTTGTTGAATTTCAAGGGTTTCGTAGTTTCGCTTTTCCGCCTTTTTACACGTCGCATTCTCACCTTTCGAGGCCGAGCCTTGAAATCTCGACTATGCTTCAGCTATAGCGCGGACTCGAACGCCTGATTCCTTCAGTGATTTGCCAGTGTTTGTTTTTTCGTTGTCTACTGGCGACAGGACGGTACTGATACTGCTTCGTATTTTCTATAAGAAAAAAAAGAAAACTCTTCGACCATGACTTGCATAACGAAAGCTATTGTAACCTAGTTATCTTGCAAACTATTGAATTTACCAATCGTCATGCGTAAATGAACCCTAATTAGCAGTTCGTTCTTGTGGTTATGTTTATTGTACTGTACAAAGTTGTTCTAACTTTTTTACTTTCAAGAGGAAAGCGTGAAGTGACCACTCAACGAAGACTGAAATTACGAAATTACTGAACAAGAAGTAATGTGCATTCATTCATTAACATTAGAAGGTGTGGTTCTGCATGTCTAAGTCTGAGGAGAAAACACCAAAAGTTTGTAACCATCCAAATAATATATATCTCCTAAGCATAGCTGATAGTTGTTCGGGGGAATTTTTTTGTTAACTTGGCAAGATTAAATGAATCCCGGGAATGGATTAAAATTTGCCTCTACAAGATAAGGATTATAATCTTCAAATTCCGAGGCGGGCACTTGGAGTGTTAATTTACTCATCTGACGAAGAACAACTTGTTTTAAAGTTGTGTTCGACTTATAATAAAGTAAACGGTTATCTTCTACCTCGTATAATTATTCGATTTAACAAGAAGATGTAATCGAAATTGAAACTCGATGGATATATTTATAGCAGCCGAGTTTCATTCGTAATTAAAACATATACATGAGAATAAAATATTGTTGACTTGGAAATGCATTTTACATGCATGGGTCATGATGTTCATGTCTGGTCCTTGCCTAGTCCTTAGGTCTCATTTTTCCGCTCGAGGTTTTGCCCTTCCGTCTCGGAAACGTCACCGAATCCGTCTCTATTTAATCTCCTACATCTCCACTTTCTTCTAAGTCGCAAGCTTATAAGGGGCTGACACATGACAACGATAAAAATGGACAGGAAATACTGAGTGTTCATTATTTCCTTACAAAACATCGAGACCCTACTGAGGCTGTTTATTAAGATAGAAGATATCAAGGGGAAAGGTATTCATAGGTACGCAAGATTCTTTTTAAAGAATTGTGCTAAGAAATGAAATGTCTTTTTAAAAATATTAGATGAGTTTATTGATCAAAACCAAAGTCATAAAAAAACCAACTTGCAGAAATACTGCAATTCAGTTGTTTTTCTTTTAAAATTGGCTGGCCCTACTTTCTTAAATAGCTGTAAAGTCAAAAGTAATAAATATACAGAGATCCATAAACAGTAATATAATCATAAGGATACGGGATATTTAGGCCAGAAGTTAACGGGGTACGGGACAAGCGAACAACTTCCCAGGGGAGGGGGTGTGTTACAATCACCCAAATGTTTCCTCGCTATTTTCCTTTTACATTAAAGCTAAAGAAGGAGTGATGTTTAGTCTTGGGAATCGTCTTTGCTAATCTGGAGTTCAGGGTTTGCAAGTAACTGTATATCAAAAGAAAAAGCTAAGAAAAAGCTCATACCCCTCCCCACCCACTCTCCTGACCGACGAACAATTGCCGTATTCAACAAAGCATGTAAAGATATGGCTTTTCAGCGTAGTTGTGAAGTGTCTTTCACCATTGAATAATTTTTGTAACTTTTCCAAAAATGTCGACTTCCAAGTCTGTTTGCTGGGCATTTTTTTTAATCACAACTACTATACATGTACCGGCTTTATTGGAAAATTAATTATTATGTTGTTATTGGAGGGTAGGGTTTTTATAGCATTTGGCAAAGCAATTGCATTGGCCTATTCTAACTCTCCTTTAATCTTATCAGCACATCACAGCGCTTTACCGTGGACAATTTTTGGAGGCAGCACCCAGCTTCTCTTTGAGAACTACTCGTTGAAATAGCTGTGAAACAACTCCAAGCAAACTCAGTCCCTGGAAGAACCAGGTTCAGAGCCACCTTAAATTTCAACGTGACACATCAAACTCATGCCTTGAATCTCAACCCCTTTTAGTCAGTGGGAATTTGCTGGAGCTTCCTACAAGCAGAGGCCTTTCACGACGAGGCAATCATGAGAGAGACCTCTGTTAGAAGGGAATTGTTGGAGAGACTCTCTCTGGTAACTGAATTAAGTGCACAAGATTGGGACTTCGATTCTTCCAAGTTCAAATATTCGGGAGGTCAAATTTCTTCGAAATTCTCTTCGATTTCGCTGACGTTGCGACGATAAATGCGGTTGCCTTTTTGTATTAACTTATTTAGCAATATTTCGTCACAAAGCTAGGAAAGCTTTTCATTTATGTTAACGTCCAGTTTTGTTTTCTTTTTTCATCAAACATCGGATATAAGGAAAATCTAAAAATGCGTGCCCTCTTACCCTTTTGAGCACCCAAGAAATTAAGTAATAAACCATTCTTTGTACATATTCCAAAAAAGAAAAAGAAAAGTCAAAAAAAGGAAAGATTATGGCCTGCATACTAAAAAAGATTGATAGGTTTCCGTTCAGTTAAAAAAAACAAACAAAACAAAAAAAACATTGAAACTAAAACTATAACGTTTATGACTCATATCCAACCACATCTGGAAACATTTGAATACGGCTGTTAATTATTGTTGGTTCGATTGTAAATGTTAATTTTTTTCGGAATATGAAAAGTCTCGATAATGAATATCAAACAATAGGACCCGATAAAATAAAATCTAGAAGGAATTTTAACCTGAACTATACAATTTCTGACGTCAATATAACGGTCAATCGGGATGATGCATTTGACCCTCAAAGAGCCTTGAACAGTGTCGCATTTTTAGTATTATTAGGGAGCTTAAGCAACAACGACGACTCCCACAACGACGACTTCAAAAAAACAATAATTTGAATGATCAAAACAACAGCTCTGCACGTGCATCACGCTTTTTAGTACATTTCTTTGACGTCCACTGCACGACTGCGACGCGAAACCTTCTAATTTGACGTTTTATGGATGGAGGACGTGGACATGACGACAACGAATTTTTCTTCCTCTTTTTGAACCTGAATAAAATCCTTAAGAATTCAACTCCAGGGAAAGTCGCCTGCATTTGACATATTGAGTGGGTCCAAATAGACGCGATTAAATTTGAAAGAACATAAATTCATTTTTTTTTTACCGACGTTTTCACTGCCGTCGTCGTCGACCTTGCTTAAGGTCCTTATTAATAACAGTGGACAACCATGAATTGCACCGATTCAAACATACAGGGAGAGTATTCTGGTACTCTTTCTCTCTGAAATTAGCCTTCTTCAGAAAGCGTGTCTCTAACGCAGTACGTCTCTTCTAAACGCAAGCGTTATAGACTTATACCCGGCTCCTAAGAGGGGATACTCCCCACAATGGCCTATACGGGGAGGATCCACCCGAAAACTATAACAATTACTATTATCAAGAGCTTCGCTTTTAGCCCTGGATAAATCTATATATTACACTCCCGTAGTTCTCTCGAAAACCGTACCCTATTCCAGACCAAAATGGGCGAAGTCTATACCCGTTTTCAGGTTAAAACGGCGCAAAGACCCTACCCTTTGGGGCGGTACATACCTATATGGCTTATATAAGGGAATACCTTCCCCAGGTGGTACAGGCGTACAAGTCGCTACACGAATAACTGGAAGGTTCCATAACCCTGGCCCTACTAAGGAAAATTAATTGATACCATTTTTTATGACCCAAAACCGAAGAATGATATTCTATAACAATCCATGATGCCAACGACCAAAGAAAAGATTATTCCGCGCAAGGCAAAACAATTTATGTTCTTTGAAATCGTTTTTACTATCCTGTAACGTCTTGTTCAGTTTTTAAGTGACAGAGGCTTAAGTCCTTAGTTTTAGTTAGAAACGCAAAGGCTGAAGCCTATTTAAAAAAGTTAGTGCATCCAGCGAGCAAATGAATCTACCACACATGGGAGCACCCAATTCTGACCTCCGCCCGAATGGAAGCGTTCTAGATGTTTCAGTGCAGGAGCAAAGGGCTTTTCATCAGAGAAAATCAAAGGATGTGTGAGAATTTTGCTTAGAAGCGGAAACCAAAAATGACAAAAATGTTCACCAAAAGATAGTGTAAGAACATTTTTATCATAGATCGAGAATCCATCCACCGTGGTATGCAACTTTTATACAATTTTTCTTTGTTTAAAACAAAGGAACTTTCTAAGTAGGATATATTAACTTAATTAAGGACTTTTCTTGTTGGAACTGATAAAGGGAATTCCAATTAAAACAATTGTCATCATTTAGCGAGGCGTTAAGTATATTGAAAAAGATGTTGTGATAACCGTTGAAAGCAACCAAGTTTGCTAGAAGAATCCATCGTCTTGCTTTTTACACCAGTACATCATCTCGGGCGAGCTATCGCTCAGAATTTCCTCCATGCAGTCACCATCTTTATTTCAGAAAGTACTTGAAGATTGTTCAGGTTCGATTTTCACATCGGCGCTGCAAGTAAAAGAACTGAAGACACGTTTCTCTGGAGTTATATATCGTTTGGAGTAATATATCCACTGGTAATGGGGTGCGTAAGTTATTGTAATAGTTTACTCTACGGTCTCCCAAGAAATGATAACAATAAGCTACAGCGTCCTCAGAATATGGCTGCCAGGTTAATAAGAAATACTCCGCGGTATTGTCAGATCACACCTGTACTGTATCAGTTGCACTGGTTACCAATAAGTGTCAGGATTAAATTCAGGGTGATACTTATAAGGTTTAAAGCAACACATGGACTGGTTCCATATCATAGACAAAATTTAACCAAAGTCATGGAGAAGTCCTCCCACAACCTTGGGTCAAATGATGAACTGTTTCTGGCTCCACCGACGTTCAAGTCTAAAAAGATCTTAGGCGACAGGGCTTTCCAAGTGGCTGCGCCAACTCTATGGAGCAAACTTCCAAGTGCATTAAGAATTGAAACAAGCTTGAAGCCTTTCAAAGCTAAACTAAAAACTTTACTTTTTAAAGAAGTCTATGATTTATAGTTTACGATTATTATTATTATGACTTATCAGTTGACGTTTTAAGATAATTTACAATTACTAAGTTACAATGCATTTTATTAATCGAATCTTACTGATTGCCGTTTTAACTGTATACGAAATTTTTAGTTTTTTAGGAAATTTTACGTATAATTTTGTATATTTTTTTGTCAGTTCTCATTAGATTATATTTTAATGCTATTTTGCCCCTTATAAATAATAAATTATTATTATTATTATTATTATTATAAATGAATAGATATTTTCACAAATTCGGCAAGGAGAAGACCTCTTTAAAACCCCGCCAGCTGTCTATTGTTTATTTTCAAATGCTGGGCACCCTTCGGTCGGTTTTTGTGAACATTTTATTTTACTTTCAACGGGCTATTCCTTTATCATTCTACAATTAGTGTTGGTACTCAGAGGTAACTTTCAATACGAGAAATGGACCATTGGAGAGACTAGAAAGTGCTATAAACACGGTGGCACCGCCCAGCTTGTAATGCCTTTGACGAAAAAAAGAAACAAACTGAACCTTAGGGCGAAGTAACTACATCAAGACCAAATAAAAGAAAAAAAGTATATAAATTATTGTGTTTGTGGGTGTGCCCAACATTTCCTTTGAATCCCAAAGTAAGAATTGAACTGAAGAAGCCGAATGATTGGTGTTTACATAGACTAAAGGTAATTGGACGTCACATAACTAGAAATAGCAACTAAGGGCGAACCGGGAGATATCAGGCACAAAACAACTGATTTTTTTGCCTTGATTTTCTTCTGTTCTTCTCGCCTAGAGGATCATTTCCCTGTCATATTTCATTAACTTGCGTGCATTTTATTCCTAGGAACCATGTCTTTGTTCCTTTAGATATCCGTCCATTGAGCTCATTGGTTTCTAGAGGTTGTCTCGCTGCTCAGTCATGCCTTTTGACAGTCTTGGGTTCTGGACTCCACGCCGTTGATTCGGGATTCCAGGTACTGGATTCCAGTCTTTGTCAGTGGAACATTGTATTCCGGATTCTAATCGTTAGTGGGATTTCGCGGATTCCTTGAACTGCTAGTCTGGATTCCAAGGCCCAGGATTCCGGATTCGACAAGCAAAAATTTCGTAGATTCTGGTATCTGCCTTACATGTGGCAAACTCTTACGTCTCTTAGATATTTATGACATCATCAGGGGTTAAAGTGTTAATTAGATTTCTTGACCGCTTGTCTAGAAATCAAAATTGATCAAATGTAATCTTTTAAATGAAATATTTACACTGACAACATCCACACCGGTTTCCACCGTTTTATGGAGATCGGTTGAAGATATTTTTAATGTAAAAAAACCTTTCCAAGCTGAACTCGAGAGATGAAATAATCCGCCTATCTGCAAGGTTTTATCCGAGGAGAATGGATTTGGCCAATATCCTGTCTGAATGACTCAGAAACCCAGGAAATTTACTAAGAGAACATGCCCCCGAACCCCATCCCCCCCCCCCTCCCCCTAGAACCTTACGCCTTCGGTGCTCGTCTTGTATATTCAAAAGAAACCCTAAACAGGGGAAGTAAAGAGGGTAGTCTTTTGTGGGCATGTTCCTAGGGAAAGGCAACCATTGAAAAGGAAGGGGATGCTCCAGGGTTTTGTTTAGGAGTATTAATGGCATAGGGTCTGGAAGGGTATTCCCGGGTTCCGCAGTTTGACTAAAATACAGTCCAGGATTCGTGAAAAAATAACGGGATACGAGATTTGACACCTACCCGAGAACCGGGATTGGAAAAAATTGGGGCTTGGATACGTGAGGAATTAGAAAAGAAAACGATATTCAGGAGAGCCAATGACAGAAGATCGGGATGCGGTGTGGATTCTCGTGAAAAAGGAGAGGGAATGCGGGATCAGGCTCTCCTTTTCAGACCCCAATTGGAGGTTTTGGTATTGTTTATGATGTTCATGATGGTAACCCCCCCCCCCCCCCCCCCCCCAACCCCAAAAATTTTTCCCCCCAGGGTTTCCCGGGAGCTGGGTTAAAAGGAAAAAAAAAAACAAGAGGAAAAGAAAAAAAAAAAATTAAAGCAATACCCACACCCCACCTGGTCCAACTACCACAGACGAGCATTTCCCCTCCC